CCTCAGTGCAGAGCCAGCATCAGCTTCCCAGTAGCAACAATATAAATCAGCGGTTCTCAACATTTTTGTACCAGGACCCATTTGTGAACGTCGATGGCCAGTCCCGACCCGCTGCCCTCAGGCCTCCGGTGCGCGGGGCGGGGGGGGGTTGTGGGGCAGCCGTGGTTTCCCACATTTTTCTCCTTTAAAGGAGAATCCATTTTTAAAGCTTGTTCATTACCTTTTCATATATTCTTGTGACCCACTTTTGGGGCGTGACCCATGGATTGAGGGTCTAAAGTGATATGCAGTATTCTGGTAGGTGAGACTTATGTTATGACTTATTTTTAGAACAGTGAATTAATTTACATTCATTCTAATCTGCTTTTCCATGTGTACTCCTTTAATGTAAGGCTGTGGTTCTCAACCGTTTTAGAGTCAAGGCACTCTGTGCTAGATTCAAAGCACCCTTCAGCAAGTGCCAGCTCTGAATTTCTAGTCATTTTTTGTCTACAGACAGAGCAATTTTTCTGTTGCAAAGAACTTGGGCCACAACAGGTCAGAACGCTTTTAACACTCTGGATTCCTATTTGAAACCTTGTCAATCGTGTTTGCAGGCCTAACAGTGATGATAACACTGTGTGGCAACCCATGGCACTCATGAAAGGATCGTGATACCCAGATTGAGAATTACTGATTTAAGGGAAGGTACATTTCCATTGGCTGATGAAACTGTCCAAACAAGTAGGTTTACACTAGGTTTGCTATATGGTTTTGCTACCAAGGAGGGTCCTTTAATACATGTGTCTAGTTACAGCATAATGTTCTGTGATGAGTGGTGTCATAAATATTTAATAATTTGAGAAAGGAGCCAGTCAGAGCTTGGGTAAGGGCAAGCTGTAAAGTAAGAGTATTACTTGGCCTCTCAATGAAGGACTCGGATGATTCCTGAAGTCGTGTCTTAGAGCTTGAGCCCGGGTCAAACGCTTGTGATCTTGTATCCTCGACATAGCATGTGATCTGTTCTGCCATATTTATGAAGCTTGACCTTATGAAGTGAGATGTTTTCCCTGGTTTCTGCTTTGTCTAGAAAAAGCGTACAGCTTATGTCTTACAGATTGTAAAAATTCTTGCTGGAGGCTCATGGATTCAGTGCGTCTATTTTAAATAGCTTTTAAGAGATTATAATTTTAAGTAGGGCTGTCAATTATTAGGGGAGGGATGGGGGGGCAAATCAAGGCCCCATGGTGAGGGAGGGAGTGGGGCAGAGGCTGGGGTGTATGACGCCCTGGGGCCAGGGTGGGTTGTGGGACAGAGTCATGGGTGGCTTGTCCAGGGGCGTGGGGGTGGTGCGATTCCCTGCTGCAGTGTGCTCCCCTGGGGGAGGGGAGGGGGGCGCGCATGTGTCCCCCAGATTTGTGTATGGGGCAGAGGTGGGCTGCAGGCTGGGGCTCTGCTCCCCACTGCCTTTGCCCTGGAAACTGCACGCTGGCTGTGCCGCACGTCTCCTGCCCATGCATGGTGGGAGGCGCAGTGTGGTGTCACGTGGCTCCTGGGGCAAAGGCAGCAGGCACAGAGCGTCAGCCTGCAGTGGGCAGCCTGCCTCTGCCCCGTGCATAGATCTGGGGGACACATGCCTCCCCCACGGGTGTGCGCAGCAGCAGGGAGCTCCATCCCTCGCACTTCATGCCCCTGGACAAGCCTCCCATGGCTCTGTCCCATGACGCGCCCTGGCCCTGGGGCCACATTCACCCCAGCTGCTGCCCCACTCCCTCCCTCACCGTGGGGGCCTCAATCTGCCCCTCCCCTCCAGACTTACTTGCTGGGTGCTGCTCTACACGCTGCTGAGTTGCATTCCTGTAGGGTTACCATACTTTGTTTAAAAAAAGAGGGCACAGGTGCGGGGGCAGGTGGTGATATGATTGGGGGGGGTGGGGGGCAGTGATATGCCTGTGCCCTCACTTTTAGTATCAGCTCTAGTTTTTATTAATCAGCGATTATTTGTCCTCCCTCTTTTTTTTTTTTCCCTTCCCAAAAGGACACTAGCTTTGGTTTCCCCAAGTGAGTTCTGTGGCTCTCTGTAAAATTGGTAATAGCTGTTACCAATCTTCTGGAACCCCCAGGGGCAACAGGGCTGCACAGAGGACTGTGAGAGTACACAGGAGCAAATCAAATGATCCCTGTGCAACTGGCACCGAGAATACAGCACAGCCTAAGAAAGGGGTGATTATGTTGTTAGAAGCCCCTTATCTTCTTGCCACACTTAGTGGTATGACAGCTTCTGAACATAAATGGCAAACTAGTGCAGAAGCCTGGAACCTCCAGAGACCTATTTTTTTTACAATTATTTCATTTGCTCTTAGATTTTAGAGCCAAGGGGCTATTTTGAGCTTCCTTGACCCATTAGACCTAGAGTGTCACAGGCCAGTATAAATGGAACCCCACATTTCCTCAGATGGCAGTGTAGACTTAGCAACTTGTTGCAACCAATCCCTGAATAAGTGGATTATTGCTGGCTGCACCTAGTGCAGCGAGGGTCAGGAGGTGTGGGGCATTATAGCGTTGTAACGTTGTGTTGGACACGAGACAGTATAATGCCAGCCTGTGGTAGGGAAAGACTGGGGTGGGCTTGATACCACCATGTTGGTAACTGCCGAGAGACTGGGGTAAGGAAGTGTAGTTAAGCAGTGGGAGGAGGACCTTCATTCGGTTTCCTAGGTTTAAGGGGTACGTAGAGGTAAGATTTCCAGGCAACCTTAACTCTGTTCAGAGGGAAATGTGTGGGCAATGATTGGTACCATGTGGGAGGGTCTGACATTCCTCATGCTTGGCTGGTTGCGTCCACAAATAAAGAAGTAGGTTTCATGGTCTAAACGGGCCAAGGAGCCAGCTAGCTTGATGGTTCGCCGTGTCGGAACTGGTCAGGTATTTGCTTTTGTCGTCTACTGTGGAGCGTCTTCTCAAACTCGACTTGCACCATTTGATGGGTTTTATAGTTTCATAGTTTCTAGGGTCGGAAGGGACCTGAGCAGATCATCTAGTCCGACCCCCTGCCATGGCAGGAAGAGCACTGCGGTCAAACGACCCCAGTAAGGTGGT